TATCGATGTAGAGGGTATGTTGCGTGTTCAAATTACATATTAATGAATTTTTACATTTTTATGCTTATAATATACTTTAGGTACAAACCTCTCCACCAAGATATTATGTAGAATTGATACGGTATCTTCTATAATTCTTCTTCAATGCGAAATCGATATTATCTAATTCTAATACATAGGAAAATATTTCATAATAAGTTATGATAGTACAAAAAGTTTTAAATATTTTATTAAAATTTAAAATCATGATTTTCTCACAGTGCACCTATTAATCTTGGACGGAACACCAGTGTACCGTGGAACATGATTTGGGAAACGCTGATCTACATATACATTAGTTTGTAAAAAAAAAAGTAGCTATTTGCAAGCACTTGAAATAACTGATTTAATTATTTTAATTACAAAAAGAAACACCAAGTGAAAGCTACTGCATTATTTTCCATTTATTACATCTTTACTTTCCTGGATTATGATTTGTATATGCTTTCTCCTAAACATACAAAAATCATTCTTGTCTTTGAAATTATGACTTTTTTAATCAAAGGAGAAAAGTAATTTTATATCAAACATGATATAGGGTTCTCCACACAATTTATGAAATGTATGTGAAACTGGGGGATTAGTCATTTTTGCTAAATGATTAATTGACAATCCCATTAATTTATTACAATCAATTTATGGCTTAGTACAGTGTTCCTTCAATCATGAATGTACAAGAAAAAAAAAAAGTTTGGCAATAGATGCTGTCAGCCAGTTACCATCCCCCTAGTCAGCAGTTAAACATTAGTGACAGTAACTTTTCTATAACAAAGACAGGCTAACCCATTTTCTACTACCACTACACATAACCCATTTTCCTGTAACAAATCCTTGTCTCTATTATATTCATTCAATCTCCTCTTAAGCTCCTTCAACATTGCAGCTTTTATCACACCTATCAGCAAAATATTCCACAAGTTGACCATCCTATTAGGAAAACAACCCATGGATTCATTAAAAAGTATCTTGCCTTAATAAACTGTTTATTTTTTCAGAGGATGTTACATGGATGATGGAAAGAGTGTGGATTTGATGTATGTTTTGATGAACATTTTTGATAAGGCACCATACACAAAATAAGCTAAGAAAATCACAGTGGTGCTTTGGAAAAAGAAGACTACTGTAGTTAACTGGACTGTAATGATTGTTTTTGTCTTTTCTTATTTATATTAACAATATTCTTAGGAGAATAATTAGTAAACTGGTAAAGCTTGCTGAAGAAATTAAAGGGTTGGGTATTTCTAATTATATTGAGGATGTTGAAGAATCACAGATTAAATTGAATTAAATGATAAATTGGAAAAACAGGTGGCAAACATTCTTTAGTTGTAGTAAATGCAAGGTAATGCATTTGGGTTCTCATAATTTGGGTCACATGTTTAATACACATGGTTTGTACAAACAAAACAGAGGGTGCTACAATAGCGTGTGGTCTACACAGATACAATCATCATCACTGTTTTAAGTTTCATTTATTTGCAATTGGCATCATTAATTATAAATAACACTTTTAAACTAATAAAGTACAAAATACCATTACCTAATGTTTTGGGGGCAAATATAATTGGAATAAAATAAATTCCAACAATCAAAACTGGCACAATTATGACCTAAATCTAAGATACTCTTTTGGAAGACACAACTTGTTAAATTATTATTATTTGCTGAACAAAAAATGTGGACAGATATAAATTATTTGGGAAGAAATTATGTTTTAGTGAATCATTAAAACTGTGATTATGATAGTATCTGTGTAGACCACACACTATAGTGTAAATATATTTGTTGACCTAACGCTATAGTAGCACCAGACAGAGACACCTGCTTGAAGATGCCCCATTTTATCCAAATGTTAAATGAACTAGATCCTCAGCTTACTAATTAATTTATGATTCTAATGACCTCAAATACATTGCCAAACAGCATGGGAAAGAAGAATGACTTAACTAACTTTCAAACAGGACAGACTGTAAGAGGCCAATTAATGGGTATTTAAGCAATCCAAATTGCATAACCTTTTGGCTTTGTAAAAGGAACAAGTTCGAAGGTTATTACAACATTGCATGTGTTCTGTAAGTGTCATCAGATAAATTTAACACTGGTTGAAAGATCATCATGAGTGAATGAGACTGTAATGCCTTATATTACACTGTCTTCAAAATTTAATCTAATTCCTCAACATATTTTTTAGGAACTTGCAGATGCCCAATGCTACCAAAAATAACTGAAGCAGTTCTAACAGCTAAAATTGGAGCCACATGTTACTAAGCTGCTTCCACTAGGTTTTTTTTTATTATTTTTTGTCCAACCATTATAAATACCCACTAAACAGTGACTGAAGAAACTGATTTTCACATAGAGGTAGAATTTTTTAGCTTGAAACCATTGCAAATGCAGTTTCTTCTACTTATATTGTCTATTGACCTGTAGATTATTTGAATGGTTTGTACTAAGATGCCAAACAAACTACTATCTCACCAGGAGTTTAATCTGCTCTGGGATATACAGAAAGTTAATGCAATCTACAAACCAATGCCATGTTAAATAACCTAACATGGCAAATGATAATTATTAAAGGCCAATTAACAGACAGACATTTTGGATTATAAATGAACCTTCTGTTAGTCTGTGGCAATACGAGTTATGTCAATATGCAATAAAGTCTTCCTTTCAAGTATACTATCTTTATTTCATGGGGGAGAGGGGGGTTCCCAGGCTTTTTGCCCACACTGTACATATGAAATTGACCTTTTCTTATAAATGCTCTGGTATTTAAAAAAACAAAAACAAAATTCAGCAACAAATGAATACTTATTTTTTATTAGCACCCAAAAAGTAGGTGGAGATTTTTTCAGCACCCCAAAAATGTTGATGACTGGGTTATGTAGCACTTATAAAAAAAGAAAAAAGTTAGTTACATGCACTTATGTAAGTGACAACATTTGTTTTTTTGTTGTTGTTGTTTCTTTGGATCTAATGACTCCTGTCAACTTGCTCTTTCTTAAGTTCTTAAATATTTTAAGGAAATATTGGAAATCTCATTTATTATCTTTACAAAATTACCTATAAACAATATTTAAAAAAATATTTTTAGGAAATTTTGGACATGACTTGCAGACTCTATTTTCAGCAATACTGACCTAAATGAAAAATGTAGTTTTGTGTTTCACTGTAAAATATTATAAATAAGCATTCATAAATTCACTACTTATGACAATTAAATAATGTTACAATACGTCACAAATGTCATGTTATGGTTCTTTGTCACTTTATTTTATGCTTATCACTTAATATTCAAAGAGTTTTTACTAGGTTCCTGCTTTTTGTATTATCATAATTATTGTAAGAATATGTAATTCACTGTCAACTAGTATAATATAATTGCATAATGACTATTACTTACTTATTGAAGTTATTCAGTTATTGTATCTAATATATTACTTAATACTTTGAATATACATTATAAAAGGTCATGCATGTATTATAATAAAGTCTGCTCATTTTACCCTCCTCAATAATATATTACTTTAGAAATAGTACCAAATATTTCGTATGTTAAAAACCCTCACTCTAAGATAAGTGCTAAAGTAGATAAACCAAATTCACAAAGACATAAGAATGATCAGAATGTGTATTACTATTAC